AGAATATGAGAGAAGCTTGTTTGGGAAGGTGTTGGGTGACATGAGAGCTGGAATGCGAGGGATTAAGCGAACTATGAGGGCCATTTGGAAAATTCAACACTCCATAGAGGTAATTGAGCTCAATGTCAATTTCTTTCAGTTTATTTTCAGCTCAGTAGAGAATAAGCGAAAAGTGGCTCCAGGACATAATTTGTTGTACAAGAATCAATACCTTATTCTCAAAGAATAGATCCCAGGGCTAAACAGTAAGCACTTATGCTTTGATGAACTAAATCGACGGGTTCAAGTGTTCAATGTACCTCTTGATTGGATGAGTACGGAAGTGGGTATTAAGATTGGAAGAGTTTTTAAAGGGGTGAAGAATGCAGTTATTTGCCAAAATGGGGAGGGGGGGGCACGGGCACCTATATCAAGCTCTTAGTGATTATTAATCTGAAAGAACCAGTCCCAAGATGCACAAATGTCACTCTGGGCAATCAGATGGTGATGGTGACCTTTCAATATGAGACTGGTCAACCTTTGCTACTACTGTGGGAGAATTAGGCATCTGGATAGAAATTGCCAGGCTAGATTTCCAAACATTGAGAGTAATAGGATTTCAGATGGGCAACATGGAGAGCAGATAAAAGCTAAGAAAAATTGGTCTATGGGCAAATATAGTTCTTCCTTTAGCTCAGGGGCAAAGAACAGTGATCAACATCTCAATTCTAAATTAGACTCTAATATCCCTGTTAGCTCTGAGCCTACATAAAATAGAAATGGATGGGAGGAGGAGACTCTCAGGGGAGAGGATAACATTCAAGAGCAAAGTGGAGAAGTTAGGGGAGTATATGCAGCTCTGCATAACATAATGTGTGGAAATACCAGTTATGCCCAATCAGACTCATATGGTTGATGTTGGTGATAGCATAACAAGTTTTGGAAATGTAGAACAAGATAATCTGAAGCTGAGATCAGTGGAGTGCACATTTGTCACTATAGAGCCTTCAAAGCCATCGAAAGGGGGGGAGGGTTGAAGAAGAATTCAGTCATCCTCAGGTAGAGTGAAAAGAAAAGAAGAAGAAAAGAAGGTAGAAGAAGTTGGTCAACTAATGAAAAGTGGAAGAGAGTTTGAGATGATTCAGAGCTCAACATATTTGAATGAAGTAGGTCTAATTGTTCTCAGTAAGAAAGCCAAGTTGGAGATCCAAAAGTTGGAGAAGGCCAGCCTAAAGTGGCCCCAATGTGATCAATGAGAGTTATGGTGTGGAACTGTAGAGGGCTGGGTGGGTCCTCTACAGTTTCCCACATCAATAATTCTAGAAGAGTCCACCACCTAAACCTAATTTTTTTTTTATCAGAAACCAAAAACACGGTTGATTTCACTAACTGTTTGCAGGAAACTTGGATTTGAAAACAGATGGTATTTGGAAGCACCAGTGGAGACTAGAGGTGGGCTCCCTCTTGAAATTCATCAAAATGGAGCTTTTTTCACTTGTGGGAACAATAGAGAAGCAGAAAGGTATGTGGAGGAGAGGTTGGATAAAGTATATGCTTTAATGAGATGGATTAACTTTTTTCTTAATATGGAGGTTTCAAATTTCTTCAGAAGTGCCTCGGATCAAATTCTGATTCTTATAGATACTGATAAGGAGTTGGCTTTCAACAAGAAGAGATTGCAGTTTGGCAATATATGGATTAAGATGGAATGAGTGAATCAGGCTGTAAAGGAGGGAACTGAAGGGACCCCATGTTCCAGGTCCACCTAAAGATTAAAAACACCAGAATGGCTTTGCTAGCTTAGAGTAAACCTTTGAAGAGAAATGATGAACAAACTATTCAGTCTCTTACGGCTAAATTGGAACATATGAGAAGTGAAGGGGGAGATAGAAACTGGGAGGAGTGGGAGGCAACCAAGAGTGGTTTACATATAGGAAGAGCAATTTTGGAGACTAAAATCTCGAGCCCTGTGGCCTAAGGAGGGGACAGCAACACTCAGTTTTTCCATGCTTTTGTTGCTCAGAGGAGGAGAACTAACACAATTGATAGTTTGCTGGCAGATAATAGGGAGATGCACGCGGGGGGACTGGCATAGTCAATCATGTTGCAGAGTTCTATTCTTCATTGTCCATTTCAAAAGGTTCTCAATGAGGGGCACATATTCTGCAGCACATTCCTCAGACCATCTCAGATGAGCAGTACAACTCACTTATCAAACCGGTTGATGATGAGGAGGTTAAAGAGGCAGTCCTCAGTTTAGCTCAGGAGAAATTCTCGGGAGAAGATGGCATGTCTGCTATTTTTTTTCCAACACTTTTGGCATATCATTAAAGTGGATGTGGTCAGAGTTGTTATTAGTTTCTTTATGTCTGGCCAATTGCTAAAAAATTGGAATCATATTGTTGTGACTCTGATTCCAAAGTGTATGTATCTTGAACTCAATAATTACATGCCTATTAGCTTGTGTGGGGTTTTCTATAAAGTGATAGCAAAAATTTTGGCCAACAGACTACAATAATGCCTTGATTTTTCAATTAACCCAGTTCGGAATGCTTTTGTTCCAGGCAGACAGTTATTAGAAAATGTGGTCATTGAAAATGAGATTTTCCACTTTTTAAAAAGACAAATGTTTGGTCCTAACATGTTCGTAGCCTTGAAATTGGACATGGATAAGGCCTATGATCGAGTGAAATGAGAGAGTATTAAAGGAATCATGCTCAAAATGGGATTCCATTCAGTTTTTACCAATTGGATTATTGTCTGTGTTGCTTCATCATCTTTCCCTTTTAATATTAATAGCAAAGTGAGTGGATTTATGACTCATATGAGAGGAATTAGACAGGGTGATCCATTATCACTCTACCTTTTTCTAATAGTCTTTGAGGTCTTTTCTGCTCTGACATTACACAAGGTTAACACTGGAGTTGTTAGAGGAGTTAAACTGTTTCAGGATTACCCTGTTTATCTCATCTTCTATTTGTTGATGATGCTCTAGTATTCTGCAAAGGTGATACAACTCAAGTTTCTTCAATTCTGGATGTGTTGAGTAAGTATCAAGCTTTCAAGGGCAAAAGGTTAATTTGTGAAAATCCTATATGTTCTTAAGTACAAACTGTTCTGAGAGGGTGAAGTTCCAAATTTGTTCTATGCTCATAGGGGTAGTGGTAAAAAGATCATCAAAATATTTGGGCTGCCTTTTGGAATTTGTGGTTCTAAGAAAGAGACTTTTCAATTTGTTACTGAAGTTGTAAGAAGCTGAATTGGTAGTTGGAAAAATAATTTTTGTCTATTGTTGGTAGGGAGGTGATAGTTAAAGCAGTTATGAGTGCTCTACATGTGTTTGTAATGTCATGTTTTTTGCGTCCTCTTGGAGTGTGCAAAGATGTCAGCAGGTTAATTGCTCAATTATGGTGGAGTAAAGATGAAGGGCAAAACTCTGAGATGCACTGGAAGTCATGGGATAAAATCTCTGTGCCTAAAGTTGAGGGAGGGCTTGGTTTCCATGATATCTTGTTGCTTAACAAAGCTCTGATTCTTAAACAGGTGTGGAGGATAGTCACTCAGCCAGAACTGCTGGTCAGCCAAGTTCTGAAACAAAAATAATTCCACTGCAACTCTCTGTTTGACTACAGGAAGACACAAGGAGCATCTTACCAGTGGAATTCTGGGTCAACCTTGATACCTTTTCTGCAAAATCATGTGAGTATTACTATCAAAAATGGTATGTCAACTAGGATTAATTATTATCATCGGGTGCCTGGCTAAAAGGTAGAAAACCTGAATTAATAGCTCATATTGATGTTGGGGTGATTAAAGTAAAGGATTTGATGTATGGTGGAGGGAAATTGTGGGTGCTGGCCTCATCAGAGCCCTGTTTAAGTAGGATGATGCAGAAGAGATTTTGAAGATAAGTGGGTTAAATCCCTAGACTGAGAATGTGTGGAGGTGCTCATTCTCCAAGTAGGGAAACTTCTGATTGAAAGAAGTATACTATATGCTCATTAAGTCTAAGATCTGCAATGTGAGTGTGGCAGAACCGAGTCTTACTGTTGGAGGGAACTTTAGAGCTAAAAGAAGATGTTGGAAGTTGCAGGTTTTGAGAAAAGTTAAACACTTCATTTGGAGGTGTTTTAACAACATTCTACCAGCTCATGAAAACTTGAGAAGAAGAGGTCTAACAGTGGCAGTTGAATGCCCACTGTGTTGTGAGCCAGAGGAGACTCAGGAACATGTGTTATTTCAGTGCCCAAGAGCCATCAAGACATGAAAACTGCCCCTTGTTCAGTGGATAAATAATTCATGATGAGCAGCTATCAGTCAAGGACTGGTGGTGGTGGATCAGTTCAATGCCTTTGATGAGACAACTGAAGATCGAATTCAACTTTCAACCTACATCCTATGGTGGCTATGGTGAGCCCGTAACCTATGGGTGTTTGAGAAGAAGTGGCAACCAGAAACATGGATCATAAAGGAAGCATGCAGGGACTAGACTGATCTCAATAATAGAAATGTGGTTTGAGCTAGGATAACAAAAAGGACAGGACTAGGTCTCGTGTCAGTGGTTGTGTTCTTCTTGCTTATTCTGCTGTCGGTTAGTTTGCATTGTAAGGATTTGAGTTAGCCTTGGCTAGGAGTTATGTATTTGTATTTATGTGCATGGGAGTGTTGTTTGCATTTGTATCGGTATTTGCCTAGTTCTTTGTCTTAGATATGTGGGTTTGAATTAGGCGGCACGTGTGGTGCTTGCTCTCTCAGTGATTCAGGATCGGGACATTCCTTTGTATTCTTTTTCTGCCTTGGTTATATGAGGTTCTTCTGTCGTTTGATAAAAA